GTTAAACTGCTCATCCGTGTAATACTTGCAGTTATTTTCAAAGTTCTTAAAAAAGTTTTTTTCAGGGTCAAAATCTTTGTCTGGTTCATGATAATGAATTTCAGTATTTCCAATTGTGTTCAGTTCCAGCTCCAGTCCCTCAAAATCGATTAACTTCTGTAACAAATCACTTGCCTCATTTCGTATATGTGTCATGCTTGTTGTTATCGGTTCCAACGCTCATCTGCCGTCGCAGATGTCGATATACCTGCGTGTTTCTTCATACAGCTGAGGGTCCAGCGACCCCTTCATCTCGTTGTCTTGGCATCCTGGGCGAGCTGGTCCTGGGTCCTGATTCCTGGTTCCGAGGTCTGGTCACTAGTCGATCATACCTCAGGAACGCGATGTCTCCCCTCTCCCTGGCCTCCCTTAACTTCGGCATCAGCTCCCTTCTTCTCTTCCTCATAGAGTCGGTGTAATCTTCATTCATATAAATATTAGATCCTTTAAGCTTCTTTGCCTGTTGCAATATGCGTACCTTATCTTTCTCTTTCATCAACTTTACCAGCACCGCCCTCGGACCACGATCCGAAGGTTTCCCGACTCTGTGAGCCCGCTCCATCTCAATTTCTTGATGAATTTGCAGATTATTGGATGGTTTTCTTTGTTACTGATAAATCTCTTTGCTGGATCTTTCAGTTAATTAGATAACAATACTCACTGCATCTGTGCTAGTTCATTTTGTGACCTCCAGTTAACTAAAACACTTGAGACTTGGCCACATTTCTTCACTTTACTCAATGTGAGATAAATGTAGTATACTTAGCTCGCCATATTGCTGCTTGTGGCCACATGGAAAAGCTCAAGGCATTTACAGAAGAACACAAAAATGTAGATGACTGAAGGCGTCTAACATAAGGTTCTGTATGTCCTCACTGTCCCTGTAGGTCTTCGTGTGCTGCTCTTGTCAGGATGCTCCTGGGTGGCGGTCTCTGCTCTTTGTACCTCGAGCTGCCCCCTTCTGCGAACTCTGGATGTTCAGTGGGTTGAGGGACTGAAAGATGCACAGATGAGAGACCTGCTGTCACCTCCCACAGATAACAGGCCAGGTACCAACCTGCTGTTTGCTGCATGCTCTGTTGAAACTGTCTGAGAAACGAGTGAGCAGACATGACCAATTAATGAGAGGAGTAATACAGAACAATACTGATGCATTGCAGTTCACTTGAATTGTTCCTG